GTTCTCTCACAGTCTATTGAATCCTGAGAACTGCCCAAGCACCCGATAAATAATAATGAACAGAGTGCTTGGGATCAAGCGCACAACTTTGTTATATAAATGTCAGAAGCTTTGTTAGGAGTTTCTTGTATTACTTGGTGGTGAATCAGCTTCAGCATTTGTATCATGGTCAATGATCCCTCGGGAGATCTGAAGGCTGAGGTTGAGGCCTGTCCTTAGGACACACTGCTATTCACAGCAGGCGGACCTCTACTTACGGCAATGTAGAGACTACCCTGCTTTCCTTACCTGCTGTTGCTGTCAGCTTCAAGTGCCCAAAGTTCCTAGTCAGTGAACCTTTCTCCTGAACACGGTGTGACCTGCAAAGTGTTTTATGGTGGCTCAGAAAGCAATAAGAGGACAAGCATGCGTGTTTCCTTTGAACTTGCTATGTGAGATGCAGTACCTGCACTGTGTATGGCTTTCTAATGATCTAATGCGAGGCCTGTGATGTTCATCATCTCTAGAGCACAGCGTGGTCTTTTACAGGGTGGTCTGCATGAAGATGGACTCAGCAGGTCTGCAAGGAGCCATGCCTAAACCATGAATTGTATTTACAAATCTAAGTTTACTAATACGATTGCTGATGAAAATCTAATCACCATAAAATGTTTGACATATTAACATTAAAAATGCAGCTATAGTAATAAAAAAAGCATTGTAAAAGTAATATCCTACTGAACAGATCTGCTCCTTGTGTATACTCAAGCCCACATCTGCCTAGCTTAGTGACAAAATGATTTTTTTTTCTGTACTCATTAGTAACATAAAACTAATGGATTCTGCTCTGATTCTCTCCATAGCAACTGAATTCCCTGCCAGTTCCAGTTTCAGGACTAAATTCCTCTCCCAGTTCGTTTCAGTTTTGTTGAGAAGTGGAGACAGCACAGCAGTAATCAAAAGGAGCACTCCAGGTCCCTGAGATTGCAAAGGTGTAACTTAGGACAAAATTTAACTTCCAGCTTATTTTTTTTTAATTGCTGCTGGTAACGCATAAGCCAGAAAGAACACAGCTTGACTTTCAAAACCTGGCTTCTGTTTGCAGGTCTGGCAGTTGGCAAAAAACACATTATACTGTAAACAGTGCAAATTTGATCCGGAGGCCATTGAGATATACCAAGTGTGGAATCCCATAGTGCCATTTTAGACAGTTGCTTTTTGGAGTGAAACTGCACTTTAAACAGTGAAAGCTGATTATTTCTTGCTGCACTGTTTATTTTGTTCCAAACGTTTATGATTTGATGGAAACAAGAAGCTCTGAGATAGCTTGAGATGCTGTAAAAGGGTGCACCTGCAAAACATCTTTTAAGTACCATTGCTTTTTTAGTCAATAAAGTCTCGAAACTTTGCAAATGAATAAAGATACAGTTTTTGCTTGAGAGAAAGAAGTGATTAAAAGACACAATACCCAGGAGTCTAAAGGAACAGTAAATCATTGACACAGTCTTTTGAAATCACCTTCAGGCCTCTAAAATCCCTATGTGGGATTCTAAGTCCCCAAAAGTGTATTTTCTGAGCTGTGAGAAGTGAGACTTGGTTACAAATTCAGAAATCACCATGCCATATGCATTGTTTTTGTTATTCCCTTTGTAAGTTTGTAGCTGGAAAAATCTATTTTGATCTTGTTCTTCTAAGCAACCATTTCCTGAGCTATCTAATGCTATCCAAAACCTTGACTGTCTCCCTCCTGTCCCCCAGCTGCCTCTCTGGAAGGCCATTAACCACCTCACTCCTTTCCCATTTAAAAAGCCTTTTCTAATTTCCAGCTCTAAATTTATTCATGGCTGGTTTATAATCATGTGTTCTTGTGCCAACATTGTCATTTAACTTAAATAGCTCTTTTCCCTCCCTGATGTATATATAAAGAGACACCATATCCCTGCTCTGCCTTCATCTTCCTAGGCTAAACATCTTGTTAGGCTCTTCTTGTCTCCTCTCATAAGCAAGGCTCTCCATCCCATGATTATTTGAGTAGCCCATCTCTGCAACCTGCTTGAGCTTTGTGGGGTTCGTTAACATGCAAACAATATTTAAAGAATAAAAAAGCGAATCCAGAACCTCCTCGAGAAAATTGTTAATGACCTATGCTGTTTAGACATCTGCTTTTGTTAGATTAAAAAGCTATTCACTATCAGGAATCTCCCCATGTTGATACTTCTACAATACGAGCAGGCAGAGGAAAGCTACTTCATTATATGCTGTACAGGTTTTACCTCCTTTCTTCAAATTCTTCAGTACACAGACCAGTACTTGCAGACAACACGTGCATTTGTGACATACAGTGGAATGTTTGGGGGCTATATACACAAAGGAGAGGCTTATAGGATACTTAGTATTGCTGGGGGCAGTAGATCACACAAAGACACACGTATTTTGAAACCTGCAGCAGGTATGGTACAGACAAGCCTATATGAGACTTGAAACAAGCTGGAGCTGAACACTACAACAAGAATTTTTCAACTAATACAGTAGACTGTAGAAATCTGAGAACTGTAGCAACCTGAAAACTGCTGAGCAATTCCCAGTGACTTCCATGAACTTTTCTGAGTAATACATGGAAATGAAAACAGAGTGGTGTGAGCAGTTCCTAAGAGATAACATTTGATTGGCTTAGTTACTCTAGCTCATCGGTGGAGGCACAGTAAAGGGCTATGTGTTCCAGTCTTGTCCTTTGCAATACCAAAGTAAAAAGCATTAGCTGGAACGCTTTCATGCTAGTTAATTGACCTTTTACAGTGGTTTAAGCAAACAGATTTTACTTCAAATTTGCAGTGAATTTGGACCACGCACATAATCAGCTTGCACAGCTCTATTGATGAGTGCTAACTCATTAAGCTGTGATAACTTGCTCACTTACAGTCATCTGTCTGTACTCATCACGCTGCCTTTCACAATGTGCCATAGCTGTTTTATGCTGGAAGAGCATTAATGTTCTCTACATGTTGCTGAGAAGAACTGGAAGGCTTTGAGCATTGAATGAATGCAACCAAGGTATTTCACATGTCAGCAACTTAGGGGTTTGGCAGAGAGAAAACATTTGAGTGTTTTTGGAACAAGAAAACGGTACAATTTTCCTGTCCTTCCTGGGCTTAGGATATGGTTTAATTTCCTACCTCAACACTCATTAACAGCAACTTCACAGATCCTACCGCTGCATCCAGTGAACAAAGAGATTTGTCTCACTGCATAAAGATGCTATTGTAATTTAAGTGCTAAAGGCCAGATAGGAGTCAAAGTTAAAACTTCACTGAGATGAATGGGAGTCATTCACTGTTGCAAGTTCTCAGCAGACTCGGGAAGACAAGGATGGACCCATTTTTGCATTTAATGCATGTAGCAGAGCTTTCCTTTAGAGCTAACAATGATAAAGCTATATTACTGTATTGCTCTGATGTGGCTTAGTTTGTTTGAAAGTAAGGCTGCCCAAAATAAGATATGCGATGAAAATTTAAGTTACTGTAGTCCAGTTCTTCTGCAATGAGAATTGAAAACAATATTGTATGCAATTATTAATTATACAGGTTAAATATAGCATACTACTACACACTTAAAATGGTTGATAATCAGTTCAGAATGACTTTTTTGACTGGTAGCAATAAGGTAAGTATTGCTTCTTCAAAAAATATTGAGAAACAGAATACAAAAAGAAATCTGTATCATATTTCTTGGCAATGCAAGACCAAAGGCAAACACTTTGAAGCTTATAATTCTGAGCAGACTTGTCAGTGTCTCATATTTGGCTTGATCATGAGCATTTTTCAATTGACTTGGATCAAATTCCATAATCAAAATCATAATGACTTCTTGGTTTATTACAGTAGAATGACTTTGAAGCCAGTTCTGCTCTCCTATCACTCAATGAGATTTCTAATACTTAACAGTTATACCTCTTTTTAAAGCAAAAGTAAAATGTGTTGTTGCATCACATAACTTTGATTTACAGAACCCAGCTTTATCTTAACAATGTAGAATCTTGCACATAAAATCGAGCTTGTTTTGCAACATGGAAACTGTTGTAGAAGCATGCTTAATAAACTCACAAAATATCCAGGCAACCAATACAGTGCCACAGAGCAAATCTTTTCAAATGCAGTCATTTTCATCATCTGTGCTATACTTCCACAAGTTAAACTAATTTAACTGAGGGATAGCTGTAGTCCAAAGGACCTGGGACTCGTCCCATCTCTACCATTGACTCAGTGAAGCTGAACTGCCACTGAACAGTGCAGTTTCCCTTGATGTAAAGAGGAAATGGTTTGCATCAGGTAGGTCCCCCACAACTTCTTTTAGAGGGCATGCCTTCCCCTTGTGGTGTGTACCCATACATATGCTGTCCTGCCGTACACCTTTACTTTCGCAGCACAGATGTGTAAGGTTGATGCCACAAATTCCTCCCTGTGAAGTTAACAGAACTGAATCAAGACTTGCAGGATTAGACCCACAGCATACTTCTGTACAATCATGTCATTTGCGCATCTTACTGAAAAAAAAGCAGTTATTGTTCTCTCTGTCAGTTTATTTGATCGTGCCTCTTTCTTTTCTTGCTGTGAGCTCTTAAATCTGTGCTAATTTGAAATGACCAAGGATGATCTGACTGTTTATAGCGTATCACTCCTGTTTTGTGCTCCATTTTGTTCCTTGAAGTTTCACACAGTAATGACAAAACAATAGCGCATTCAAAATCAGGTACTAAATGAATAACCTGTTTGTAGAACGTGTTTATATGCAAATATGTATTTCTAGTGCTGCCTACATTCAAAATGTGTGTGTATGGAGCATTCTTCATATTTTACAGGAGGTATGAAGGTCAAGAACTTGGAAATTTTTAAGAAAAATCCTAAACAACATCACAACGCATGGCCAAATCTTCCATATTGAAGTACTAGAGAGTGCTCCTGCGCAGCTATAGAAACTGCTTAGGTATCTTCTAAATGAGTCAATAACTTTTTTTTTTTCCCTAGGATGTAATTGGAAAAGCACTGCAGTATATTGGAACATATGGTGAGCTGTGCAACACAGAGCAAGTTGTGGCTCTGATTGACGAGGAAATGTGTATCAACTGTGGCAAATGTTACATGACCTGTAATGATTCTGGCTACCAGGTAAGAGCACAGCTGTAATTAGCAGAAAGGCACAATGAGTTATCTTTCTGCTGCTGGGAAGAAAGAATCCACCTTCTGTTAATGAGCAGGTGGTAAAAACAGATGTCTAAAATATTGGATTCGAACCCCAGCATGCTCCCAGGCTATGCCACACAAGCCCTGCCTGAGCTGTTTGCGCAGTGGTGAGAACACCGCCCAGCATGGCTTCTTCTGGAGGGCTACGCAGAGTGTACCGCATCTCGCTGGCTCGCTCTAGGTCACTCTCCCAGTCTCTGCCTAACCGCAGTGGGAAGTGGGATTCTTTTTAAGAGGAAGAAAATGAAGGATACCCAAGTCGGCTGGCAGTAAACATAGTTCTTTGATGGTTTTCAAATACGTGAGGGAGAAGCGGAAGAATGCAACCCTTTTCACCAAAGGGATGTGGCGAGACAAGAGCTGTTCTTATTGCCAAATGCTTTTTAAGAAACCTAGCTCTTGTTCCATCAGTGTAACTGAACTTGAACTAATTCAGCTTTCAGGCAGGTGGGGTTTTGTTTTGATCTTGATGGAGGTACAAATCCTTTCTCCAGGATATCTGCCAGGGTTTAGAGCAGCAGGTTGAAGTGTGCAGAAATCATTGTGACCAGAAAATAGCACAATTTTGAGCTAGGGCTCCTGTTTGCAGCAAAGTATTTCTCTGATTTCTGCTCAGTACAGTAGCATAAGTTGTATGAAATGTATCAGCATTTCTTCTTCATGCCGTTCCTTGCCACGTCCACTGGAGCTGATGGACTGGTCTGCAGTAAGAAGGGCAGTACAGGAGGATTCATGTTCTTTTAGAAAACCAAAATATGGTCTAATAACCTTCATGGAATGCAATATGCAGTAAGCAGTAAGTTCTGCATGAATTTTTCTATTCATCCCAGTTGGAGAATAGTTTGTCAGAAACAAATACTTTAACTGAGTACCAAGTTTCCTCTGAACACCGCAACCTTTTGTTTATCCTTAATTCAGTCTAATCAATAGTAGGTCTGCTGAACTTAACTACATACAGTCAAAGAAAGAAGTCTTTCCATTTCAAATCAACTCCTGCAATTAAAACAAGTGTGTCAGAGCAAAGGTAGACGTGCTTCTTCCACTGATAAGAGAAATATAATGCTGCATTTATACCAGATTAGTTTACTACAGTAGCATTCTAACTGTCTAAATTTCTTCTTGACACTGCGATCTTCACTTCTTCTCCTTCCATTAGATTTCCCAGTGAAGGGGAGGATATAGCCTTTGGAGAGCAAAAGACTGTGTTTATATTTAGTAAAACTTCCTTTTTATAACTGGAAAAAAAATCAGCACCAAAAGAGCCAAAGTTTAAAAGCGCAGGAGGTTTTCTAAGGACCAAAAAAAATCTTTTTCAATTAATTATGGAAATCGAAGAGAAATTAATTTCAAAGAATTGCAAAGAAAATCTTAATCGCAAAGAAATCACACACATCCCTTCAAAATAGCATCATCTGCTTTATGCTTCTCTTTGTTTCAAAAATATCCATGCTGCTCTACAGAGCTATCACCTTGTATGACTCCAACAAAAAAGCTTTCCTTAATTTAAAGTTAGCACAGTAGTCCTGACTTCTTCTCCCTCTTTGAACTCCCTTTCAAGATGTGCACTGTTGTTAGGGAGAGAGGAAGGAGTCCTCCTTAAATACTCACAAACCAAAGCTCTCTTTGTGCTGAAGCGAAACTAAAACTTGTAGATTCAGGGCAGTCAGTACCTGCTTCATGCCCTTGCTGGTTGCTACAGCAACTTCTGTGCTTTCCTAATAGTAAAACCCCAAATGCTGAAAATCTGCCTTTGGAGCCACCCCGCAGCACCACCGAGTACCTCCCATCTCCTCCCGGGCTCCCCCAGTTGCTGACAGTGGTGAGGGAGATTTGCTAAGGCACCATTTGTTTGCAGAGGAGCGAGTGGTCAGCTTTCAGGCCTGATTTTTCCTTCTTAAAACTCTTAAAAGTAGATATTAAGTGGGTTTTTTAATTATTTTTCACTTTCGAGACTTGCTTCTTAGACATTGAAGCTTTTGCAGTTGTGTGATGCTTTTGTTTTTGCTTTTAATTGCCATTTCTATTATATGAGGAGCTTATTTCATTGAGACTGCAACTGTTATTTCACATTCAAATACACTTATCACCCTAATTGGTAATGAGGATTCACTGCATGGAAACATGAGAACTAAAGCAAGCTCTGCCTGCCCAAAACTGAGATATCCCTTCCAAAGATTTGCAAAGGAAAATAATCGGACGAGACACAGCATGCTGTGTTTTTCTGTACTATTTATTAAATTAGATTGTTTATGCTGTGCTGCAAATAAAAGTCAAAAGAAGGCATTGTGGCCAGCATTGTGCAGAAGCCGTACAGGCATGGTCTGGTGTCTCCTCTGTACCAATAACCCTGGCAAGTTGCTGTCTTAGAAAATATTTCCTTCACGCAAAGGAGAAATATCCCTCTGGGACTTTAAACAGCGTGGGCCATACTCCTCCTTTTGTAACCAGCCCTTGTGACCCGTGAGCTTTCACCGAGCTAGAATTTGGCCCATATTTCTAATTTTAAAGTGTCGGGGGGTGGGGGGGTTGTTTTGTTCCCTGCCAGTTGAACAGTTGCTATAGCTGCAGTGCAGAATCACACCAAGATGTCTCCAAGTGCTGTAGCACAGGAAATGCAGACACTAAGATGGGAGCAATTTTGACCTTTTCCGTGAGCGACATCAATAATGTTTATTGCTGTTCGCAGGCTATCCAGTTTGATCCCCAAACCCACCTGCCCACAGTTACTGACAGCTGTACAGGCTGCACCCTGTGTCTCAGCGTCTGCCCTGTTATCGACTGCATCCGCATGGTTTCCAGGACAACACCCTACGAACCAAAGCGCGGGCTGCCCTTAGCCGTGAACCCCGTGTGTTGAGGTGATCGGTCCGACAGCTAATGTGAACTTTACACTTGTTTGATGCAATTGATTTGCTTTCTAATTAGTCCTCGAAAATCTGCTCTTATAAAAAAATGTAATATTGATAGCCGTTACAATGAACACTGTGTTTTCCAATTATTATTTTTACAACAATTAAGTTTTGAAATTACAGAAAGGCAGCAATTAGTCAGTCATGGCTGTCAGTTGTCCACTATTTGAAGTGTAACTTTCTCCTTTCAATTCACGCTGTAATTTCAAAATTTCTCTATAGACTCTTTAATCTCTATGCATTGTCTGGCTGTAAATATAATTAAGAAAGCATTTTTAATGAACAACAAATCAATGTACAAGCTAGCTGTTTTCAAGGAGGCATTTTGTAATTAAACATTACATTTAGTTTTAAAAGAGTTTCTTAGAAGATGTAATTAACTACATAGCATTCAAACAAAGCAATGTGGCTTCTATTTTTCTATGCGAAGAAATGAAAGGGAGTTTAAAATAGGATTTAAAAACTGGATTAATCACTTTCAACTACTACAGCATATGGTAGTATATTTTTATAATCCTTTCTAATTCTTTCTCACACTAGTCACTTTATGGAACAAATTTGCTGTGCACTGACACACGCTGGACTCTTCAGATTTGTGTGTTGCATGGGTAGCTTGATCGTTACCTTTCCCCCCCAGTGAACACTCATAACATCTCTCTAAAAACTCTTAAACTGGCTTATTATGAAGTTCAGGTTGCATTTCAGGATTCTGAGATGTGACAACATTCTTTGCTCCAAGCTCATCCTCTAAATAACTTTTTAATTGTGCCAATTAATGTTCCAGAATGTACATGTTACAGGTCAGAGATCTGATTACGCGCAAATGGAATACACACCCTGCAGACTGCGTTTGCCAAACACAGACATATAGGGCAAACTGGCAAGATTATTTCCCCCAGTGCCAATTCTTCATACTTATTGGTTATGTATGGTTATAATAGTTTCACAACCAAAAAGAAATATAGATTTGTCTGTCTTGCTAAACAATATCTCAGTTTTAATCAATTTTTCATTCGCAGTAGGAACTTCCTAATACAAACGTATTGCTGTCTGCTTTACTCCACTTAAGAATCTAAAGCCTTTCGTGTCATAATAATAATAAATGATCTATCAGTTCAATTTCTTATACCCTATATTGTGATCAGCAACATCTGTGATTAAAGCTATATCTTGACTTTTGTTTCTTGATTTATGAATTGTGCACTGAATTATAAATAAATGTTGAAACAAACTTGGGATTTTTTGTAGTTTTTTTTCAGTTACTAAACAGATTTTTCTTGTAGAGGCTTGTCAGGTGGTGTTTCATGATCTCTAAGATTCACTCCAGGAATCACTAATGAGTTAATTCATGTGTACATTATTCCATTAATTGCCTACAGTGCAGAATGTAGCATGCTCTTTGCCCCTCTCGGGCACCTCTTTGTCTGCCTTTGACTTGTCTTCCCTTCGCATCCCTTCCCCACACACACACACTTACGTGCACACGTATGTACGCTCTGTGTCACTCTAATGTTTTGAAGTGTCATTTCGTTTGGTGTGCTTGCCCCACCAACACTGTTTTGCTGACACTTTGGGCTTGCTTGATGAGATCCCTTGGCAGGCTCAAGCCCAGTGTCTCCACTAATAGCTTTCTCTTCATACTTTAATTTTTCTCTTCATCGTTTTGGATTTTGCCCACTCCGATGAAAACGGGAACAGATAGTCGTACTGCTTAGATAATATTTGCCTGAAACAGCTTTAAAGCTTTTGGCCTTCTGGTAGTTTCTTATCTCACGTGAGCTATAGAGGACTCATGGGAAGAACAAGCTGTTTTGTGAATGTTAGGGGCAAAGTTTGGAGAGTCTCTGCATGTACTGCTTGTACCTCTTCCAAGGAGCTGGCTGACAGGCAGCACACCCTTGAGTGGGGCAGGAAAAACCATCAAAATCAGATTGTCTGCAGGTAACATTTTATGCTCTCAGTTAGCAGATGCAAGGAAAAGTAGCTATCTTCTCCCAGGCTGTTACCACGTACTTCTTATTCTGTATCCTACCAACCACGAACCCTGAGGGTGAGAGGTGGTGTGTCACCTGCGACTGAACTGGCCAGCTTCTCCAGGTCTGTTGTTACTGCATCTTCAGACCTGATTACATTACTATCCTAAAGGCAGCACATCTGGTAGTGTGGCTTCTTTTAAATACAAGACAATGCCAGGAGACCTAATTTAAGTAGCTAAACGTATGTACATCATAAATGTAGCGGCAAAATTAGAGCTTTTCCTAGGATATTCAGTAGTTGCAGTATTCCCAAGTAGCTATAAAGTAATCTTTGGAGGACTAGAGGCATTCTTTGTGAATCAAGATTGTAATCGAGACTGTAATTTGTTTACTGAAGAAGGAATAACGGGTTATATTATACAGGTTTCTTTCTCACCACCCCACTCTTGTTCTGTCAAGTCCATTAACAGTTTCAGAAAATGCGTTCCCAAATGAATGTGAATACTTTCTAACTGTCAGTCAGCAATAAATGTGTGTGTTGCAGGAACTCAGAGAAATGGCCACATTTAGGTCTGCTGTAGGATTGTCTTCAGGTCATCAGGGTAAGGCAATGTGTAAACAGGCAGGGGAGGGAGCCACAAAGGACGTATTCCTGGGTTTTATAGGTTTTTCACTTCCATCTTGGGGAATCCATCCCTTTCAGAGCATTCAAGAGCCAAGGAAACAAATCAGAAAAATCTGGTCTATTCTGCAAACGCTGTAGCCAGTTATTAAAAAAGGGATATGAATTTTCAAAGTGTAAAAGGTTCCAAATTAAGCTCATATATTTCAGTGATTTAGCTGTACATTTAAGGAATTATGTATTATTAAAGACATGCTGGGCGAGATCCTGCAACCCTAGCCCATGCAGTTTTTAGATGTGTTGTCCTATTGATTAGTATTATAAAATACTGTAAACTATATTTGACAAATTAAATTAGGATAGAAATGCCATAGCTTATCCTGCGGTAGCACATTCTTATTCACATCATATTCCTGAACAGAAAAAGCTCCCCATGTTCAGTGTATGCTCTGCAGTCCAAGAAATACTTGAAAAAGCTGCCAAATCTGCTTGTGTGAATCCCAGTGCACCCATACATGTTCATTGGAAAAAGAGATGTTTTGCCTTGCTAACAGACTATACAGGCAGTTTGGTTTTTGGCCTCTAGGATGAACAGAGCCAATATTTCCAAGGTACTGGATTGGCAACGTTAATAGCGACATTTGAAAAATTACATAGGATTTTTAAAATACATAATTTCCTGATTTTAAATGAAATATTAATTTGATCCCTTAGCAAAATTAAAACCAGCCTTTGTGCATGAATCTGATGGGTAGTCTGTATCTCCAGCGCTGAAGCCAATGTACATGCATACTGCTCCTTGCTCTGATGCTTTACCAGTCGCGAGAGCAAGCCTTCTTTGCAGACATCCATTTGCTCAGTTCATAAAATCTGGCAGGAGCAAAATGCAAGTTACCCGTCTAGAATGGCTGCCCCTCTTTGCTGGGCCTTAGAGGGCACAGGGCTTTCCACCATGTGGCCTCTGGGAGAGGTGACTTGGCAGCCGCCGAGTGTCTCGCTGTCATTTCTGCAGTCTCCCCGCCTTCCAGCACGTATTACTGTCACCTTTGGCTCCTCCAGCTTTGTTGTCCTTAAGCCTTTTATCTCAAGGTGGCAAAAGTGATTGCTAGATTCAAGGCAAACTATCCAAACCCCAACTGAGTGCCATCAACCCCATGCCTCATAAAAACCACTTTGTTTAACACAATCCAAGACTCTAGCCTTAGAAATAGAATGTTAAGCATAGATATTTCCTATCCCTAAGAAGATCCTGCCAACATATTCTGTATGTATGTTTCATTATTTATCTACTGTAACATGGGGTTGGGCATGTTGTTAAAATTTTATATTTTTCAACATGCTTCCTAGTAGAAAATACTTTTTTAGATAAAATATTTATTTTATTGGCAAAGGTTTCACTTCACCAGGCTGTTCCACTTCTTTGATGAACAGTGGAAGATAGGTTTTCAATGGCAACATCTGGCAACCTGGCAGACTCTCTCGGCAGCTGGATTGGTAACTTCAGAGTTGCTTCTGGGTCTCTCATATAATTAGTCTGCTTATGGGCCATCTGGGTCGCTTCATCTTTGCTGTTGCCGTTTCCTTTCTTTTCTGAGGAACTGTAAGCTCTCCAGTTATTTCTCCAGGAGATCAGTTTTAATAACTCTTCCTCAGGTTGGTCTGCTGGGTCTTATGCAAATATCCACACCGGCCTTGTCCAGAAGCAGAGACCCAGCTTTTATCCCTCCTGCTTTCTTGGACGCCCATCGTGACTTTCTGTGCTGTGGAAGCAGAACTTCTCATTGCTTCCAAGCAGTGAAGTTGGAGGGCAACTCGGCGAGTGGACACCCATTGCCTCTGCACAAATAAAGCCCTAAACAGGCTCAAATGTTAACAGTAAACACACACGCGCGCACGCACGCACACTCTCCTCTTCTAGTTTAAGCAAACTAAAGTTACTGCAAGGAAATGCAATTGTTCATTTTTCTGTAAAAGAACTGCAAGTTGTTAAACTTGACCTTGATATTCCTACCTGGATGCTTTCAGACGCCAGGTCTGGGCAATATAGGTGAATTAACTTGATCTGAGCGCTGGAACAGAATAAAGTCCTTCCCACTGTGGCTCAGCAGCTGAAAACTGTAGCCGTTCAGTTTGTCTACGCTTTGCCAAATGCTAACATACCTCTGAACTCATCGGGGTTCCCTGTGGTGCTGTAGAAATACCAACCCTCTCGCGTACGCTCAGCATCGCAGCGCAATGAGTACAGGGAAGAATTCCTGTGCTCTGCAGAGAGCTGCCTTTGCACCTTTCATGGTGGGGGCTTCCTCTGCAAGGACGGCTACCGCGTTGCCTTCTAGCCTCCAGATGTGGAGGTCAGGCAG